TGGAGGGACGGCGGCGTGGTGCTTCTGCCTAGAGTGCCACTTTGCCGGAACTCTTGGTGCTAAAATTTTAAGATTCTAGCAAAAATTTAAGATAAGCAAGGGACTAGTCCTAGGCCAACGGATTTCTCATCAGTGGTCTAGTCTCATTATCAAAAGCATGTAGAACAAAACTAGTCTGTGTTCAAAACCAGTCAAAATGATGTGGAACTCTCACATACTATTGTGGGAGATTGGTAACAGAGAGCAATTTAGCCCCATATATCAAGTTTTTAAATGTGCAGCCTCCTGGAATTGGCAATTCAATTTTAAGTACTTAATTCCATATAAATAAAAATGTACAAAGACATATACCAAAGAGTCTGTTCCTACTCATAGCAACCCTATAGTACAGAGTAGAACTGCCCCATAGGGTTTCTAAGGCTGTAATCTCTAGGAAGCAGACTGCCACATCTTTCTCCCACATAGTAGCTGGTGGGTTTGAACTTCCAACCTTTCAGTTAGCAGCTGAGCACTTAACTATCATACCACCAGGGCTCCATTACGTAGAAAGGTATCCCCAATATATTTTGTGTAAAAAAAGTTGCAGAAAATATGCATGATCTCATTCTTTAAACCCTAAACGTCAAGTGAGATCCCAACAATACTAAACACTCATTCTGAGGACTATAATGAGGGTTAGGGTTTGGGAAAGGGAAAAAGTCATTTTTTACTTTCAGTTGTAAAATATTTGTAATGAACATGTATTACCTCTGTAGTTTAATAAAAAAATTTAAAGGAATTAATTAGTGAACATGATAAAAAAAAATAGACGAGTCCTTAAACTTTAGGATTTATAACCTAAGCACATTAAATTCATAGACAACACAAAAAATGGGAAAAAAATAACCCTCTTTTGGAGAACAGACTTTTTATTTATCAAGTACAATTATGGAAGATTAGAAACTTTGTCAGAAACAAATGGAATTAAGTTCAATAATAGTAAGTAAAAACCAATAACTCGTAAAAGAAAAATAAACACACAAAAACAAAAGTAGGGAACCTGGAAAGTGAGTAAAATACAAAATCAACTTGGGCACATAGTAGACTACAAGACGATGACTTAAAACAGAGTATAGTCAACTTGAATATCCTGGGCTGGTTATAGTAGCATACAAGTTAGGTGTCTTCTCACCTCCTGAAAAATAAAACTGAACTTGTAATTTTATTTCCATTGCTATATTATACGACAAGGAGCCCTGGTGGCGCCAATGGTTAAGTTAACTGAAAGGTTAGTGATTTGAACCCACCAGCTGCTCTGTGGGAGAAAAGTCTTAGCGATCTGCTCCTGTAAAGATTACAGCCTAGGAAACCCTATGGGAGCAGTTCTACTCTGTCCTATAGGGGTGCTGTGAGTTGTAATCGACTCGGTGGCACACAACAACAATAACAACAGCACACTATAGAACATTAGAAAAAACTCATTGCCATCACATTTTGTGCTTACCTGTCCCCCATTTGAAAGTCCAAGTCTCTGACCAACTTGTCTGTTAATTTCAGCCACATTTTCGCCTTGGTCACTAAAATGCCTGCCTTCCACCCAGCTTAAGAAAGTAGGCTGGTGACCCCAGGCTACTTCTATAGCTTGATTCTGTTCATTTGAGAAATAAGAAATGGGGGGAGAGGGAGAAGAAAGGTTTTAAAAGTTTCTACATGCTTTTCTGAAATTCACATGAAAGATAAACTATTATTGAAATGCACACATACGAAAGGTTCTTTAGAAGTTGATAACTCTGTTACCTACACTTGTCATAGCATTTAAAAAGCTATAATCATTTCCAGCACCCAATGCTGGCAATAGTGGGGGTGAAATGTATACCCTTATATTCTTATGACAGCATTATAAATTGATTCAACCATTTCAGAATTCAAATGGCAGTAGCTAATGAACTTACGCAGCCTTTGAGCCACATATAACCATTTAAAAATTTATTCTAAATTAATGATTCAAAGAAGAAAAAAATTCAGCAGAAGATATTTCTGCAGAGTTATCTATAACAGTGAAATCTTGGGACAGTCTTAAATGTTCATCAGAGAAATTAT